CTGTTTATAACACCCACTTTACAGTATTTTGTTACAGTTATGGAATGGACTAAGACAACATTCTCTTTAAAGTTGCAACTATCTCTATTCCTTGCCCTTCACTGTTTCTCTATTTTCCATGTCACTTTCAATCATTTCATATAATTTTCTTATTTATTATGTCCATTGTTTATTGTTTATTTCCCCAGATCGGAATATATGCTCAGTAGTGACAGAAGTCTTTGATTGTTTTGTCCATCAACATATTCCAATGTCTAGAATAGTGCTGGCACAGAGTAAGTAATCAATGAATTGAATGGATAAAAACAGTTGCAAGGATAATGTTTCGACTGAGCATTAAAGAATGTGATCCAGTTACCAAGCGAAGTTCCACGTAAAATTTCATTGGGAAGGAAAAGTTTCTACTTCTAAAACTCCTGCTATTAATCAGAGAAGGTATTATATATTTCATGTAAACATGTCGTTTTAGGTTGTAGTTTCTCTTACTCAATGGCTTATTACATGCAATAAAATTTTGATTGTTTGGTTTCTACAAAATAATAATCCAGACATTTAAAATATAATAGTAATCATGATGCATATGTCTTAAACAAAGGGTCATTACAGGGAAATAGCACATGAGATGAGAATTAACAACTTTTCCTAGATTTATCAGAGAAATGAGGTCACAACACAAACTGTCTTCTGAAAAACTAGAAAGATAGGTGAATTCAAAGAGTTACAGCTTATGGGGAGCAGAAACCACTGCTGGAGCCAGCAACTGGTAAGAACACTTTAAGAGTAATTGACTAGTTACTGGAGACTAAGCTCCCGGCAGGAGTTTGAGAGATAAAACTTCTGGATGGCCAGGCTTAGGGAGATCCCCCCATCTTGCTTTCCTAAATTTCCTTCCAGAAGCTCCAGCATGTTCTCAGGATAAGGATTAGAGAAAAATTCCCTCATGCGTTTGGCAGGGAGAGGGGAAAAGTAACCATTTTGAAATATACCCAGAACATTAAGTTCTTCTTGTAAAAGGCCTGCACTCAAGGAAAATTAATTTACCACATTCTAACCAACTTGAGTTTTTACAAGAGTCTAACTGACATGAGGGAAGGGAATTACCCAACTCCAGCCCCTGCTAGCCATTCTGTCTCACTAAAGTAGCATGGGGGAGGAAAGCTGAGAAGCACTTGCGAAGTTCAAACCCAGGGGCATGGGGTTCACTAAAAGACTGAGATCTAATCATAGGATTATAGAATGCTACCTTGTCCCCATACCTTACCTACTATATCAACAGATCTTTTATACAATAACAGGAGCTGACAATGAAAAAGATGGTATTTATGACTCTTTTTAAGAAAGAGTCTCTAGGGAAAAATAATAGGGGATTCAAGAAACAAGAGCACTACATAAAATTTAACTTCTGAAACTTCTAGCTACAGCAAATAGTAAACACAGCCTAACTTCTAGCCAGAAAAACATAAAACCTACATTAAAGTTTTATTTACTTTGGTTCTTTTTCCTGATACATCATGTCTAGCTCTTGACCAAAACTTACAAGGTATGTTAAAAGGTGGACAGCATAGTCTGCAGAGACAAAGCAAGTATCAAAACCAGACTCAGATATGGCAGGGATTTTGAACTTATGAGTGATAATTTAAAATATGTTTAAAATCCTAAGGACTCTAATGGAATAAAATAGAAGAAAAGATGGGCAATATAAGTAGATAGGTGGAAATTCTAAAAAATAATCAAAAGAAAATGCTAGAAATTAAAAACATTGTAACAGAAATGAAGAATGACTCTAATGGATTCATTAGTAGACTGGACATGTCTAAGGAAAAAAATAAGTGAGCTTGAAGATAATATAGAGACTTCCAAACTGAAAAGCATAAGAAAAAAGAATGAAAAGAAAAAAATAGAACAGAATATCCAAGACCTGTGGGATAATATATACGGATAATATATAAGGTATAATATATACACCATGGGACTGCCCCCCAAAAAATAGAAGCAATATTT